ACCATTCTCTTGCTGACCAAGAACATTCAAGGTACTTAATACAAGACTTACATGCTGCTTGAAACAAGTCTTACATCCATTGGGAATTATTGCTTAAGACAAGACTTACATTAATGCTTACTGCCTTCTCGAGATAATTAATAAAAGAGGAAGTTTCTTACTGGATTGGGATAAGACTTCTTTTGATCTTAAAGAGAAAAGAAACCAGTTCAAGAGGGGAGGGGGAACACCATAATACTTCTTAACAAAAAGAGCACCTCATCACCTTGCTCTTTTTACTGTATTCAATTGCATCATCGGGTTTTATGTTGTATGAGATAGGGCATGTGGAAGTTACGTGTTTTGTTTACATTTCTTGCTATATATAGATCAACTAGTCCAAAATTCAAGCCAATCACCATTCAAGGATTCTAGTGTAACTAAAAATTCAAGGTCAAACTGAGATAGACAAAATTCTTCAGAAAAATCAGAAAAAAGTTTACACACTTGAAAGGATAGGAGAAAGCTTGAGAAAGATGGGAAAAGAGTTCCAAAAACTATGTCAATCTTTTCTAGAGTCTTGAATCTCTGGAAGAAAAGAGGAGGGTATTTTTTTTACAGGTTCTTTTTCCTAGCAAAGTTTTTTTGCCTTTAACTTTGTAGATAGATATTTCTTGTATTTACTCGCAGAAATACAGGAGGTTTATGTCAAAGAGAGAAAAAAACAAATAGGGGAGACTATTGTCTCTTGGTATAAGTATTGTTAATGAAAGTATATAGATTTTATTATAAGGAAATATAAAATTTCCTTGGAACATCTGTTTTTTTGTGTTGGCAAAAGGATCCTACTATTAAATTCTATATAAACTATAAATTGAAGGTTTTTTTAATTACTTATATTAAAATTATCCCAGTAATCTAAAAATTAAAGTAACACAAAAATTTAACCAATAAAATAAAATTAATATATATACATTTTATATTATATCTATTTATTATATTCATTTTTCAAGTTTATCATAGAAATAAGAAATGAAATTACTGAGGTTTCAAAAAATAAAGTTCAAGAAGTTAGCAAAAAATATAAGTCATTTACTATTCATCAAAAAATTGAAATTTGCCAAAAAAAAATATTAATCCAGAAATAAAAAATAATGAATTTGCTATTAAATATAATATTAGTCAATCGACAGTCAGCAATATTTTAAAAAAAAAAATTACTATTTGTTATTAAAACCTAATAACTATATAGTAAACTTACATAGAATAAGAACAACTAAATATCTGATGGTAGAACAGGCATTAGTATTGTGGATTGATCAGGCTAATAATAATAATTATATACTTACTGGACATATAGTTCTTACCAAGGCTACTTATTTTGCACAACATTTTGAAATTCAGAATTTTATAGGTTTACCTGGCTGGTTTAATCGATTTAAAAAACAATATAATATTCAAAAGTATATTCATTATGGAGAAGCAAACTTAACATCTTTAGAAGATCTTACTCAACAATGTCATAATCTTCAAAATCTTTTATCAACATGAAACTTGAAAGATGTTTTTAATTGTGACAAAACAGTATTATTTTGGAAGTTAAAACCATCTAAAACACTTGCTCATCAACCAATTGCAGATACTAAAAAATTAAAAAATCGAGTAATGATTATATTGACTTGTAATGCAACTGAAACAGAATGTTTAACATTTGTCTTTATTTATAAATATAAAAATTCACGATATATGAAAAATATTTATAATAAGATCTTACTCATACTCTATTATTGAAATTCAAATGCATAGATGCAATTATCAATATTTTTAAGATAGCTTTTACAAGTGAATAGTGAAATGAGAAAAAAGCGACATAAAATATTGCTTCTTATGAATAATGTTATAATACATCAAGTTGAGAATAGTAATTCATTTTTGAATATTATGTTACATTATCTTTCAAAAAATATGATTGCATATCTCCAACTCTGTGATGCAGGAATAATATACTCGTTCAAAGTAAGAAAAATTAATTTTATTGTTTTTTTTAATATTTTTGTATCAAATAAATACCAATTCTTTTTTTATAGTCTAAATATTATAAAATTCTTTGTAAAAACTGAATTGAAGTATATGATTCATTTATAAACATACAAACTTTTATACCTGAATTAACTATACTCGATGCGATTAATTTTACTACAAAGGCATGGAATTCAGTTCAATCTAGTACTATCGCATCATGCTGATTAAGAACTGGTATTCTTCCACTATCTAATTTTATAGGCATCAAGGATTTTCTCTATTTATCAATTGATAATAACATCAAAGAAGTTGTTTAAGACTTAATTGAAAAACTAACACCTGGAAATAATATAATAGCCAATGAATATATAACTGTGAATTTAACATTGGAAACCAGTGAAATGTTGAATAATGATAATATAATTGCCTTGGTCCATAGTAATAAAAATATTGAAGATGATAATGAATTTCAAGTTGAGTCAAAAATAACAACTAAAGATGTCATTGACTTGGTTAACAAGTTAACAAGTTTTTTAACAAATATCGAAGAGCAATTTAATATTAGTAATAATTTTCTCATAGAACTTAAATACAAATAGAAATTAGTGAGACCTATGGGTCTATAGCTCAGTGGTAAAGCTCCATAGGTCACCAGGTAAAGGTCTAGGGTTCAACCCCACCTGGTTACAAAAATTT